CTCCTCCTCCTCCTCCTCCTCTCTTCCTGAAGTCAATGATCAGTTCTTTAGTTTTGCTGACATTGAGAGACAGATTGTTACCATTGCACCACAGCACCTAGCGCTGTATCTTCTTCCTGTATTCTGACTCATGATTGTTTGATATCCGGCCTACAACGGTGGTGTCACCAGCAAACTTGAAATGATGTTCATATCAAATTTGCAACACAGTCGTGAGTACACAGGGAGTACAGTCGGAGACTGAGTACACATCCTTATGGGGCGCCAGTGTTGAGGGTTATTTTGGAGGCGGTGCTGTTGCAATCTGTGGGTCAGGAAGCTGAGGATTCAATTGGAGAGTATGGAGCCGAGACCTAGGTGTCGGAGTTTGGGGATTACTTAGGGATTATAGTGTTGAAGGCAGAGTTGTAGTCGATAAGTAGGAGCCTGACATAGGTACCCTTATTATCCAGATGTTCCAGGGATGAATGTAGAGCTAGGGAAATGGAGTCTGTATTGGACTTCTTTCACCAGTAGGCAAATTGCAAAGGATTGAGGCATGCTGGGAGGCTAGAGTTGATGTGGGCCATGACTAACCTGTCAAAGCACTTCATGATTATGGAGGTCACAGCCACTGGGCAGTAGTCATTGAGGCATGTTCGACGTGTTTTCTTTGGTACTGGGATGGTGGTGGTCTTCTTCAAGCAGGTGGAGACTTCATATTGTAGCAGTGGTGTATGTTCTGAAGTTGTAAACATTCAACTTCAGTCTATCTTAGAATTTGCCACACAGCCTTAAATTTGATATTTTATGAATTCAGACATTACCAATACTCCTTTGAGACCTGGAGACTAAAGTTTCCCCATTGACTGCAAGTTAGCTCTCAACATTTTTGACGTTTAAATACCTTACGCCACCTTCTGAGTAATTCAGATCATCAGACATAGGAGCAGAAATTGAAACTGCTTCTTCATTCAATGAGATCCTGGCTTAGCTGCTAGTTTTGAGCTTTACTTTCCTGCCTTTTTCCCCAGAACCTTTGATTTACTTATTAACCTAAAGGACATAGTTACAAGGCTGAATCTAGCAGGTAGCAGGTGGTGAGAGAAAAAAATACTTGACTTTATCCTTACCAGTCTGCAAGCTGCAGATGAATGTGTCCATGACAGTATCAGTAAGACTGACCACTGTACACCTTTTATGGAGATAAAGTCCCACCTTCATACTGAGAATGCTATCCATAATGTTGTTTGGCACCATCAACGTGATAAATGGAACAGGCTTCGAACAGATCTGGCAACTCAACACCAGCCGTCCATAAGGCGCTGTGGCCGTCAATTGTAGCATAATTGTACTCCAGAACAACCTGCCTAACATGGCCTGGCACATCCCATTTTCGATGATAACTATCAAGCCAGCAGATCAACCCTGGTGGTGTGTGCAGAAGGGCGTGCCAAGAGCAGCATCAAGCATACCCATAAATGAGGTGTCAACCTGGTGAAGCTACCAAACAGGACTACTTGTATGCCAAATAGCATAAGTAGCAAGTAATAGACAGAGTTAGACTATCCCACAACCAATGGAGCAGATCTAAACTCTGCAGTCCTGCCATATCCAGTCATGAACAGTGGTGGACAATTAAGCAACTCCCGGAAGAAGGAGGGTCGACAAATATTCCCATCATCAATGATGGAAAAGCCCAAAACATCAAAGATTGGTGCTGGGTCCTCAGCTTTTGGTCATTTATACGAATGATTTGGATGTGAATATAGGAGGTATGGTTAGTAAGTTTGCAGATGATACCAAAATTGGTGGTGTAGTGGACAGCGAAGAAGATTACCTCAGAGCACAACAGGACCTTGACCAGATGGGCCAGTGGGGGGCGAGGAGCGGCAGATGGATGCTGCATTTTGGTAAGGCAAATTGGGGCAGGACTTACACACTTAATGGTAAGGTCCTTGGCACTGTTGCTGAACAAAGAGACCTTGGAGTGCAAGTTCATAGTTCCTTAAAAATAGTCGTAGGTAAAAAGTATAGTGAAGAAGGTGCTTGTTATGCTTGCCTTTATTGGTCAGTGCGTTGAGCATTGGTGTTGGGACGTCATGTTGTAGCTGTACAGGATATTGGTTAGATCACTTTTGGAATACCGTGCACACTTCTGGTCTCCCTGCTACAGGAAAGATGTTGTGAAATTTGAAGGGGTTCAGAAAAGATTTACAAGGACGTTGCCAGGGTTGGAGGGTTTGAGCTGTAGGGAGTAGGCTGGGGGTATTTTCTCTGGAGCACCAGAGAGTGAGGGGTGACCTTGTAGAGGTTTATAAAATCATCAGGGGCATGGATAGGATGAGTAGACAAGGACTTTTCCCAGGGATGGGGAGTCCAAAACAAGAGGGTATAGGTATAAGGTACCTTCCTTCACCTATCATGGGGTCAAAATCCTGAAATTCCCTCCCTTAATAGCATTGTGAATTAACCTCCAGCACATGGACTGAAATGGTTCAAGAAAGCAGCTCACCACCACCTTGTCAAGGGCAACTAGGGTTGGGTAGTCAATGCTGGTCTAGCCAGCGATTTCCATGTCCCATGAATGAATTTAAACAATGTAGAAATTATCTGCCTTATTTGCTAATTTAAAATAAATCAGTTGGTTATAAAACTATTTGGACACCAAGTAGAAAGTGCAAGACAGAAACAAATGTTTTTCCCCATGTTGTAAAGGAATGATTAACTGACAAGTACTCCATCATTGTTGTTGAAGTACTGAACCCAAAAGAGTTTATTGGGGAAAGAAAACCAGCCAAAACCCATTGCTGGCATACACTGGCCATTTGTCGAGTTGAAGATGTAACACGGCATGGCACGAGAAATGACAGTAGCTTGGGCTTGTCATATATATTTTGGAAACATGTAGAGTGGATAGATGATGATGACAACCAGCACCTAACATTGATTTGATACTGAATCTGTTTGGTAAACAGTCCCAGTAAAACATATGTTCTGTTCCATGTGGAGCCCTCACTGGACCATTATTTACAGGATCGAGGCCCAGATGAGATGCCTTTTTAATTGTTTTGGGTTTTTGAGTGAGAACAGGAGGTCAGAAAAACTAGTTTATTTCTCTCTGGAGTCTGTCTCCTGGAATAATGGAAGCTATAGTTACAGCACCTATGGTTATGGGATGAATTGAAGCAAAAGCAGCAAAAAAGAATGAAGTGTGCAGAGAGTAAAGGACGGGAATGGAAATGACAGACGTGCCTAAGGCTCTTTTGACTCTGAGCAGATACTGAAATTTATTTCTGTGAGGTATCAACCTAGGATAGATGTTCTGCAGATCACCATCCTTCAGTCCACCTACTCTGTTTCATCACAGTGCCATTTGGGCAACTGCTGAGTTGCAAACTATTAATGAAAGGTGTTTTCAATCTTCTTTCTCAAATATTCAACTGGCAGTTCCCATTAGTGAATCTTTCTCCTTGTCATAGTATATTGCAGAGGCTTATTGGTTATATGCAGTAATTTATCCATAATTGAGAACAGTGTTGCTCAATTTTCTTTTGAAGTGGTGAATATCACTAGAAATTCACTAAATGACAAAAACTCTCTGTTCTAAACCAATAAGAAGCAGCATCACAAAATAAGTAAACTTCCTGTGTAGAGTCCTCTTTCAAGGTGATTAGAGACTCCCAAATTTTTGCTTATGATTTTGCTTAAAAATTCAAACTAATATTAAAATAATTTAAAATGTTTTGTTTCATTAACCACAACATTTGATAACTGACTGCAAAAATTTATGTATAATGACAATTGATATAAATCAGTATGAAGGGGAGATGATGGCCTAGTGGTATTATCGCTAGACTATTAGAGGGGAGGTGGTGGTGTAGTGGTAATATCACAGAAGTAACAATCTAGAACCCTAGGACAGTGTTCTCGTGCTCTAATTCAAATCCCAACAAGTTAGATGGTGAAATTTGTATTCCATAACAAACCTAGAGTAAAGAGCTAGCCTAAAAACAACCATATATAGCTTTAGGGTGGCACAGTGGCACAGTGGTTAGCACTGCTGCCTCACAGCACCAGGGACCCGGGTTCAATTCGATTGTGTAGAGTTTGCACATTCTCCCTGTGTCAGCGTGGGTTTCCTCCCGGTGCTTCGGTTTCCTCCCACAGTCCAAAGATGTGCAGGCTAGGTGGAGTGGCAACGCTAAATTGCCCATTGTCTTCAGGGAGGTGTAGATTAGGTGGATGGGTCTGGGTGGGATGCTCTGAGGATCAGTGTGGACTTGTTGGGCTGAAGGGCCTGTTTCCACACTGTAGGGATTCTATGATTCTATGAATTCAAATAGCAGTTCAAAGATCTCAATTTAGGAAAAAAAATTATGAAATTCCATTGTCTCTTAAAAAAAAACTCAGTATTTCTAGGCAACGTATTTGTATTCTAGCTAAACATTCATAGAATGCTTCTGGAATAACGCAAAGCAAGTGATAGAATCCGCCTTCCCATCCAAATCATTACAGTTCAGTATCTGTGCCACCTGTCTCTATGCCCATTAATCTCTCTGGGGATCAGCTTCAATAACTTTGAAACATGTAAATAGATGGGTACTAACACAGATTTTTTCTGATTTTTGAAGGTGAGAGAATTAATGGTTGTCTTCAGCTACAAGCAGAGATTCTGCATCCCATGGAACAAAATTGGATATGGCACATAAACATATCTCTCTAGCCCTGTCAGTCCAGTCATACAATGATGATTGCTAAGTTTCAAAATCTGAGAGCAACTCTTGTAGACATTTATGCATAAATGCTTGAAATAAGACCTTCTTTTGATTGCTTTGTAATTGTAATATCTGCATTGCTTTTACAATAGTGGACAGTCAACTATCATATGTCCACTGATTTATTGCTAACAGTAGTTTAAATAAAAAATATTTTTGCATGTAAAATAATGTGAAGTTTCAATGTAAAATGTTAATAATTTAGGAATTTTTTTTGATATTTACATTATTTATATTTTGCAGGCCACAAATATCTTGATGCGCATAATTGAAAGGAGATCCGCCGTGGTCAATCAATTTCTTCATGTTGGCACAAAAAAGAAATTTTATGATGTTGACTGAAAAATAGCAACCATCGTCAATTATGAATTCCATCGGGGAGTTTTGCTGATTTCAAAAGCTTCTGCGATTTGCCTTAGGACTCTGTATAAACTTCTTGTAGCTTTCTGAGATTTCAACCAAATACCAAACAGGATTTCTATATTTCTGGAGACGCATTGTGGAAAATGTCACTTCACCAGGAGAGGCAACCATGGCTCAATTGCATATTTAAAAAGGTGATGGCTCATCCAGTGCGAATGGGATTTGATATAACCTTCTTCCTTTGGATACTTGGATTTGCGTGGAAGGGCAACCTGGTGCTCTGCCAGAAATTAGATGACACTTACCCAATTGTGAACACCAATTATGGCAGACTGAGGGGGATTAAAAAAGAATTGAGTAATGAAATCTTGGGCCCAGTAATCCAGTATCTAGGTGTACCATATGCTGCTTCACCAACGGGAGATCGTCGCTTCCAACCCCCTGAACCCCCCTCTTCTTGGTCAGAAATCCGAAATGCTACCCATTTTGCACCAGTCTGTCCCCAGAATATACATGGTATGTTACCAGATGTTATGCTTCCAGTGTGGTTTACTGCCAACTTGGAAGTAATTGCCTCTTATGTCCAAGAACAGAATGAAGATTGCCTCTTTCTAAACATATACGTGCCTACTGAAGATGGTGAGTGTAAACCATAAGGAACAAGGAAATCTAACTTTTTAGTTTTTACTCAGTGTTTGATCTTTCTTTGTTTAGGATGCATGACATAATATTTGCATGTTTGTGGGTGTTTGTACGAGTGTGTTTCAATGTGTGCATATGCATGAAGCTTTCTTGATGCATCAAATCTGTATTCTGTCCCCACTCATTTTCTACCCCATAGCACGACCATTGAGGTGGATATTGGTCCTCCATCCCCCTCTCACTGACTTAAGAAAAGGTGCATAATTTGCTCATTGTGTGTGCAGACACAATGAGTTGGAAGCCTGTCTTTGTAGAAAGGACAATTTTAAGTCAGTTGGTGGTGTTGCATGCTCCTGCTGTCTGTGATGGAGCTCATGTTATTTTTTAGTCTTTTATTCATTTTTCAGTAAAAAGAATATCGAAGGAATGTGCCAGAAAACCCGGCAAGAAAATATGTAGAAAAGGAGGTATGTATAAAGCTTGGAGCAGAAGAGTTTGCACTTCTCATCCAGAGACCAGCGCTGATACTTTAAGGCAAAGGTCAGCAAATGTCATGTAATTTATGACATTAGTACATACAGCAGAAAACGTGGATGTAAATCTTGCTTAAAAGACAGCACACATGAAGGAGAAACCTAACTTTATAATTTGTCTTCCATTTTGCCACCTGGACAATAAGCAAAGTTATATTTCACTGAACGTTTTCATGTATGCCATTTGGTATTTATATATGTTATTATTTATAATGTCAGATTTCAAATGTTTGTTTTCTATAAAATATTCTGCCAAACAATATCAGAGTTCAGTGTTAAAATGGCAAAATTACTTACCATTTGTAGATGCCACTGTAGCAATCAACTCAAGGTGATAAAATCTACCATACGTTTGTGCAATTTAGCCTTTATTTCTTTGTATTTGAAGGTTTTTTTTAAATGACTAGTGATATTTCAGTGACTTGTTAGCTGAGACGTGTCACAGATTCTTGTGATTAAAGAAAATGTTATCCTTGGACTGACTGTCACTGCACCACTATAACTTTTAATCCCGTTTGTGTGCACATAAAGGTGATTTCCAGCACACTTCCAATGAAGCGGCATAGTGGCAGAAAATTGACAGAAATTCAGGGTCACTGAACTTCCCTGCCAGGTGTGAATTGTGTTCTATTATTACCACAATATGACATACTGAAATACTTCAAAGCAAACTATGAAAACAGTGCATCAATATGTAAGCAAACTGGTTTTATACAAGGTCGATTTATAGTGTGGAACTGGAGGAACAAAGCAGGTCAGGCAGCATCAGAGGAGAAGGAGAGTCGACGTTTCGAACCTTGACCTAGAGTCCTGATGAAGGGTCTAGGCTCAAAACATTGACTCTCCTGCTCCTCTGCTGCCTGACTGCTGCGTTCCTCCAACTCCACACTGTATCAACTGTGACTCCAGCTTCTGCAGTTCTTGCTATCTCTGAATGGTTTTATATAAGGCTTAGATAGATTTAAAACAGCAAATAGATTTGAATATAAATGCAAAGAAACCCACTTACTATTTTTTGGGAGAAAAATAAGGTCAGATCATTGTTGTTCATGCATTTTTTTTTTCCTATACATGTGGAAAATGTAAAAATCTAATACTTCTCATTTCGATTCAGTTCATAATTGAACTCTGGTCTAAAATAGTACAGTTCATGTCAAATTATCCTGATGACTTTTGATTAGCAGGAGTTTGAATAATGGATTAAGTAAGGGTAGTGTGAAGGAATAGTAAAGTATTGAGCCTTACCAGCAGAACTGAAGTCTAGTATTGTAGGAACCGTCAGCCAGCTTAGAGTTAAAGTCACTATCACTTTCATTTTAAATTTGACTCCTTGAAACAGCATGCTTCATCTTTTTTTAATTCATGCTGTCTACCATTCTCTACCTTCAAATTGTTTTACCATTCTCTACTGATTATAATACTAAGAAGCTTTACTGAAAGACTAAAAATATTTGCTCTGCAAATATTTTAGAAATAAATTGGGGTGTCCCATTTTAGTGTTGTTAATCTGTCATTGTCAATTCTTTTAGAAAAATTAATTACATCATACATGTTTAAAATTGAATCTGGCATCTTCAAGTGTTTTGATTTTCATTTAAAATAACTCAGTAAGTGATGTTTATGTTGATTATAAAATACTAATAACCTCCATTCCACTCCACATTACCTTTTTTAGTGCTCTTGTAAATGGTCTAGTTGAGCAATCTAGAGCAAGGGTTATAGTTCATAACACAGAATATCAGCAAGATTACAAAGACTAATAGGTAGGACTAGTATAAATTTTACTGTAGCTTTGGTGGTACAGACTTGATTGACCCCTGGCAGGGCCTCTCCTGGACTGTATGATTCTCTGTAGTGCTCACCAAGACCTGTCAGAAAATTGAAACCGAGGGAACATAATTGGAGCACAGTGTTATGTTATGAGTTATAATTTGACTGCTAATATAAAGGGAGGAAGAACATAGAGGAGGGTGCTTTCCATACTCTGGGATTTAAATCGGAAATTCACAACAGCACTCATCATAGCATTAACAAAATAGAGAACCAGGAAAATAGAATTCACAGGTTAGAAGATGGAGACAGAGGCTGATTTGAAGTATGAGCTATATCTACCTGAGACTGAGAGCAATGCTGATAAAACATCTTCAAATGTTGCTGCACTTTGATGTTACTGATATCTATGGCATTGAAAACGGATGAAGACTTGAGAGGAAGACTTTCATACAATGTTGAAAACCATTGGATAAGTGAAAAGGCTATACGGTTGGAACAAATGCTAGCAATATTAACCAATTTTAAGGAAAAGTGTTTATTTTTCTCTCCGGATTCTTTGTAGATTAGTCATAATCAAATGTGTTCAGTGGAAGAGGTTTTTAAGAGTGAAGTTATTGTGCCTCTACCAAGAATAAAAACATTTTTATATTGATGTAGTCTAGATATGGACTAGATAGTAAAGAAAATATTATTGATTTTAATTGAAAATGCTGTCCATTATATTTTAGTATGGAGTGATTAAAACAATTAGGAACAGAATTAACAGATACTGTATAATTAGAGTTGCGTTGTTTTAAAGGAGTCATCTTTGCCTAAAACATTCCTCACTAGGGTAGTCTCCAAAGTACTACTTCCATGTCAAAAGCACATTTGCTGTTGGCTGCTATGGGTGTTTGGCTGAAACCATCTATTTATTTTTGTCAGAATGAGCTACATTTAAAGCATGTAACTGTATCATTTGTATGTTTTGCCTGGTCATAGGATCACCTTGAATTTGATTGGATAGCAGTGAATTGCAATTAGGAATCACATGACTTTAAGAGGGAAGACGTGGCTACAATATTTGATTAGTGGGAGTCAACAGCAGTCTGAAATTCTAACGCTGCAGTGATTTTAAAATAACATTAATTGAAATTGGCAATGAAGTTAAAGGGCAGTTAGTTAATTTGCTAACAGGTTCTAATACAATTGAACTTCACAAAACATGAAACTCATTTTTTACACTACACTGCATAATACTTCATGAAATATATGAGTGCATTTTCTTTGTTTGCAAAATTCATTTGTTACCATTCCCTGTGAGAAACTGTAAAGTAAATAACCGTATTTACCAAATAATCCCCAAATCGAAAAATCATCAACAAGATCCCAATTCTTGCAGCTTTTACTTGATCATGAATCGGAATCAGAATAAATTGCACGAGTTAAAACATAGAGGGCAATTTACAGTTAGTATGAACTACAAATTATTCATAGAATAGCATATACTACAAAAACTATCTGAAAAAATTACAAGCATTCACATCACTTCTTGCACAATTATGGCACTGTGTGACTTCTCAGTCGTTTAAACTGTGCCCTCGTTATGTTGTCCTCTTTTTCTTTCTTTTTTCGCCTCACTCAGTAGTTTTAGTCCGCAGGACATTTCAACAGTAGCTCTATTCCTTCCAAGTTCCCCAGAGAAAGTTGTCAACCCAGAATCTGCTTAACTCGGTTCATAACAACCTTGATGGCACAGATTCCCTAGAGACTCCTTTAGTTGACTTCTTTGATATACCTCATTAAGCAGTCTGGTCAGCTGTGACAAAACTAAAGCAAAACAGTTACCCAATTCACAATCCCTTGTTCCTGCTCTGTCGTCTTGTTGTCTTTCTATCCATTTGTTACACACATATACTTCCTGGTAAATATAACTTCTGGTTCTTCTGCTGTAGCTACTTTGACTCTGTCAACGTTGCTTCTGTGCCAACCTTTCCTGATCTGGTTTCTGTGACTCGAGACCCACAGCAATGTGGTTGACTCTTAACTGCTCTCTGAACAGACCTAGCAAGCCATTCAATTGCATTAATCGCTAAAGTTGCTCAAAAAAGGAATGAAACCAGATGGACCACCTGGCGTCAACCCAGGCATTGGAAACAACAACAGTAAACATAGCCCTGTTGACTCTGCAAAGTCTTCCTTACTAACATTCTGGGTCTAGTGCTAAAATTGGGAGAATTGTCTCAGACTAGACAAGCACAGCCTGACATTGTCTATAAAATATGATTCCATGAGTGACTATTTCCCAGATACGATCAACACCACCAGCAGCACAGACTCAGCAGAGGTCTCGACGCAGTGGTGTACATTAGGTGGAAACTGCCCTGAGAATCCTCAGCATTGACTCTAGACTGCATAATGTCTCACGAGAGAAGGAAACCACCTAATTACAACACACTGTCTTCCCTTGTAATTACTCCTCCATGTTGAACGACACTTGGAAGAGACACGGTGTATGGCAAGGCCACAAAATGTACTCGGGGGATTTCATTGTCCATCACCAAAAGAGGCTTGGAAGCAGCAAAAGGTCGAGCAGGTCATGTTCTAAGGGACATTGCTGTTAGACTGAATCTGCAGCAGGTGTTGAGGGAAACCAATAAAAGAGAAAATGTTTGACCTTGGTCTGCCTGCTGTGCATAAAGTATTGATAACAGTGATGACTGCACATTCTTTCTGGAGATGAAGTCCTGCATTCTCAATGATGATACCTTGCATCGTGTTGCATGGCACTACCACTGTGCTAAATGGACAGTCTTTGAACAGATCTAGCAACTCTAGACTGGGCATCCGTGAGGCAGCATGGACCATCAACAGTAGCATTCTAACACAATCTGTAACCTCATGGCCCGGCATATTCCCCACTTTATCATGACCATCAAACCAAGGGATCAACCCTGTCTCAATGAAGTGTAGGAGGCCATGCCAGGAGCAGCACCAGGCATACCTAAAAATGAGGTATCAACCTGCTGAAGCTACAAAACAGGATTATGAATATGTTGAACATCATAAGGAACGAGTGATAGACAGATCTATGTATTTCCACAACTAACAGATGAGATCAAAGGTCTGCAGTCCTGCCATATCCAGTCTGAATGGTAGTAGGCTATTAAACAACTGAGTGG